CTCTGTGCTTTAGAATCTGGCACCTATAAAATGAGTTTTGTGAATAAGGTACTCAGAACAAAGCCCTGGTCATAATTTCATCAATAGAACTTTAAAATGGCTCACACGCAGCTGAACTAAAAAGCCTGGCGAGAACAAAGCATTGCGTACCTCAGGGATGAAACAGGTCTTTAAGCGTTCACATCACACGCCGTACTGAGCCCCTGAGAGCCAGAATGTGAACGCGTACAGAGAGGTCAGAACCAGAACCGTCTAAGTCCAGCTTCATCCCTCCGCGTAAAGCTCTTAATACAACTTTGTGACGGAAGTACGCTTTCTGCATGCAGAGTACATGAACAGCAGCCAAGAACACATCGAGTCTAACATTACTTTCTTTAGTTCTCATGTAATGAGCGTGAATGTCTTTTATACATCGCGAATTAACAGAGAGAGACTTAAGTACGTTTAAAACTCAGTTTCCGAGTTGATGCCAGGCTAATTCAAACTGATTGGTAGACCAGAAAGTGGTGTAGGCGTCCGTAATCGATGAGACAGAACTTTTGTTCTTGAACTCAAACGCAATGTGGATTGCACGTTCACAAGAATCATATCTGACCACTACACACAGCCTGGGAACATTTCCTGGCACGCACGTGGTGGAGATTTGAATTGTACACCGAGACGAGTGCAAGACAGTGTTCTATCTTTTATTCAACGCGAGTTAACAAAAGAAAATTGACCTGAGAAAGAATTTGCAAATTCTTATTTGTTTTTGTGGCCAGTTCGAAGGACTTCCAACCAAGTGGAAAACCTCTAAAACAGTCATCACCCCCATCTACTGTCAAAACAATTAGGGTCGACAATGATTTTGGCACGTGTCAGGTGTTAAGTAAGTAACTTAATGCGCTTAGAAATTCTCAAGCAAGTGTTTGGACCCGAGATGGAAGCAAGAAAACACTTTACATGACGTGGAATTGATAGGGCTTCGATGGTCTGGGTGAGCATCGAGAATTAGGATTTAGGAACCTACGTGATCGTGTCCATCCATCGACGGACTTCGACTCTTAACAGTAGAACTGGCTTCAGACAGGATCTCGTGAAGGTATTACGGTAGCAAGAGGTTTCATAAACAGAACACTTTCAAATAAATAATATTATATTTGAAACAAAAACTTCATAAATTACCTTCACATACTTTGTTCTTACTAAACACAGTGGAACCATTTAAATTAAAATAAAAACATCGGTATTCAACGAAAACACGCAGACTCACAAAGGAACTTGACATCACATGCTTGTTACTATCTGGTACTTCAAAAAGAAAGTTCCAGTTGAGCACTTCCCAGTTTTCAAGCCTTTATAATATTTCAGTAATTTTGAAACGTCTCAATACCATACGAAAATTACTCCATCAAAACACACAAAAAAGTTTAAATCAGATACAACAAATAAAACTTAAAAAAAATTTCCAATCGTTAATTCAAGCTTTGCTTCTGACTGCATTCGAAAATACCGAGATATTAAATTTGGGAATCTCATAAAATTCGGGCACGCAACTGAAGGTACCGGAAACCCCGCACATAAAACAGCACTTCTTACCTTCAGACTTCTTTTTACGATGTTTCTACTCAACCCTGACTTAGTAGCTCAAATAATGCACAACCACAATCTCAAAATTCAAACGTAAATTATAATACATACATAATATTTTACAACGGAGCAGAATTTTAATTCCGACAAAAATATTTATTTTTCATTTCTAACTTTAAATTACTACGTCTTACAACTGGCAAAAAAGCACAATGTACAGCTTATACGGAACGGACCTGTTCAATATTTGACGAGATTTACATTTCTTCTGAATCCGGCATAAATCGAACAATTTCCTTTCCATAAAATACTTGCGACAGTGAAATATGGCACCAGAGCCAAGAAAACTAAAGCTCACACAAAATACGAACAAAACTTCACTTTAAATATCACGACATTTATCGTAAGAGGACGCGCGTGTGCGCACGTGCACAAGCACTTTTCTCGACATATCACAAGAAAACATTTTGCTTCTGAAAGAGAAAATCCTCATCGTGAAAAGAGCGAGATTCTACTACATTAGTCGAAACATCAACTTACGAGACAGACGCAGTTATTATTCAACAGAACGCCATTTAAATAATTCTACGAGTTGCCTACAAAAATTTTACATCACAACTACAATAAATTAAGACTCAAACGGCCATCACGAGATTTCGTGACGTCCTGTTATGGATATCGGTCCGCAGCGTGATTTTCAGTTCGAGAACTCTCACGTTCACTGGTTATCAGTCCGCGGATCCCTCGATTTAATCCGATCAGACAGATCCACTTACGGAGGAGTCACGCAACCACGCAGCACCTGGGTGACGGGCAGAAAATGAGTTACTTCATTGGGAGTGGCCACTCACAGCTCATTTCTGAAAGACAATAAATCAGAAAGGAGAAGGGACGCACGGGAAGACAAATTGTTCTCAGTGACATCATCAACAATAAAAGTAGAAACTCATGCATGCAGAAACAGCGAACAAATCGCGACACGCGGGAGAACGCGCGTCAGTCACCGGTCTCAGAGCCAACCACAAACACAGCATCGCGCATTCTGTCTCCCGAGAAACTGTCACATCCATCATTAAAGCTGCTAAAAAACTTTAAGCAGCTTTTATTGAACCAAAATCAAAATGCCTCAACACAAATTTAATTTTGGTTTGAGTTTGACTGAAATTGTCGACTGAAGGACGAAAGAACTAAAAGGTGGTCACCGAACATTTAAGAAAAATATTCAAAACCGATCCACTAACAAGCAACGACCTCCCCCGCAATCAACGCTCTCTTACCCAGAAATCTCGCTAAACTCGTTTCTTTCCCCCACAAATTTGAACAGTTACTGACACTGAATAATCAGAAGTTCAATGAAGCTTTCGTTTATCTACGCAAATGGACATCGTCCCTCACCAAAAAGCCAGAAAAACTGAATGATTATTAAACTGATTAAACGTAGTAACATTCAAGGCAAAATTTTCTAGTAACGTATACATGAAACTTTTTCCCCTCCTTCAATTTTTGACCAAGTGACTGATTTGGTACGAACGCTATACCACTGGAGGACACCTCGACAATTTTCTGTTCTACTTCCTACAATTTAAAATAGCAATGCAGAAGCACAAGCCTGTGAGGTGGAGTCCCGTAGATTTTAAAAGAACACGCGACTTTGTTTCTACAGACGCACGTGCTCGACTCTTACTACGCATTTAAATTGCATTGAACGAAAGGCAACGAGCACACACACACAAAACAACACTGCATTTAACTGCCTGTTTAATGGCAATAACTAATAAAGAATTACAGCGAGGCGTTTGAAATTTGGTACGGAGACAGATCATAAACATCACCGCAAATTCTGTATGAATGTCGTTTATAAGCCAACAGTTACAGACACTGCTCTGGTGTGAAACATTTAGGTTACGTCCAACAAATTTAACACAGACAGGATTACGACTGCAAGCAGCAAAAAATTCTGGCCTGACTAGGATTCTGCCACGTAATTAACCGCGCGGAGTAAGATTTGAGGGCAAAGGAAAGCGGGCTTTACGAGATCCACCTGGAACTACTTGTTTCAAGAGTGAAAACATTGTATAAATAACAGACGTGTTACTCAGAAAAATTACGACGCCATCCATTTTATAACTCGTTTTCTGAAGGTCTGAGAGTCTCGAGGCGAATTGTCTTACTGTATTAATTACGAACGTGTATTTAACCTTTAATGTTTTCATGATTTATTTCATCATGTTTCCCATTCAAATTCAAATTCAACGTAGGATTACAAAACACGAGGCTGGACACGCACGTCCCGCCTGCTTTCACCAGACGGCAGTCGGAAACTATTCGCGAAAAAGTAACGACCTTCAACTGAAAGACCAACAGCGGGAAAATGAAAGTACGAGAGAAGGGCAGAAAGCGACTCACCTGAAGATTAATGGAAGAAAGACAACGCTTAAAACAAACAACAGAGAGCAATTTAGCACGTGGCAGGGAGCATCTGAGGTGGAATTCTGATGAAACCTGGAACGTTTTCAATTGTAAGCACGTCATTGGTAGCAAAAAAAAACTCAACAAATTTCTTCGCAATCAAGAAGGACGTATCATGCAAGTGCTTCATTGGTAAGCAGGCAAGCTATGCAGTAACTACTCAGAATTGCCACCTTCCAGGCCACTGCGCGTCCTTGTCCGTCAGGGGAACGTATACCACGCCCATCAGAGGCGTCCGTGCCACGGATCCGTCGGCTTTCTTATCAATTTGTTCCAGTTGTTGATTACCGCCCTCAGGACCCACAGGAACAATTAAACGTCCTCCGGGCTTCAACTGCGCTATGAGCTAGAGAGCAAACAAGAGTTTCTTTTAGCACCGCAACAACGAAGAACACAAAGTCATTACTCCATCAGCCAAGAGAAAACTACGCAAAGCGGAAACAAAGAAATTAAAGACAAGAGACTGCTCAGTGACAATACAGAATGCACAGCATCTCATTAGAATCCGCGATATCCTGGTGACTTTTAAGATTTGTGATCTTATGAAGAAACACGTCAGTGCAACCCAAGGCAGGGAAACAAAGTTGTGTGTGGCGATAGCTTCTGTAGTAAAATCCAAACTTTTATTAGAAAATTTTCTTTCTAAGAAAGCAGAAATTACAAGGTAATGAAAAGTTGCATAACCCAATGCCGACTCACTCCCATTCACATCAACAAATCACGATAACAATGCCGCAGAGTTTAATTTCTATCAAGAAAAACTATAATCATGATCACGAATTTTTCTTTTATGCATGTATAACGCAAAACAAGAAAGCAATGTTTGCGTAATTTCTGAAATGCAAGTCTCAATATTTTCTTTCAGTTCGTACAATTTATAAGGATAATTTTGAGAGTCCTCAAAGAAAAAAGTCAGATTCGACTAGCAACAACTTACGTCATGAGGCAGTGAAGGAGACGCCGCTCCAACATGAATCGCATTATAAGGAGCGTCCACCGAATAGCCTTGCCTCCCATCTCCAACTGAAGAAAGAAACAAGGATCAGACATTTCTGTTCGTAAGAGAAGAGGTACAAATGTTTTACTACATAAAGGCTATATATATGACAACAAGTATGACAATGAAATAAAAGTTCATGGTGAATATTCATAGTCAATCCAAAAGTAGGAAAACCTGTCACACGCATTTGTCCTGAATATTTGTCAACACTTTGTTTGTTTTACATAAGAAATGTCACACGCAGACAGAACACCTCTTGGTATTACGGCCATCCCCACGCAAAGGACATACCTGAAAAGTTCAATTAGGATGGTTTTCAAAACCAAACACACCATTTCTATTCCACTGACAAATACTACACCAGACAGGAACCTTCTCGATAGGAGACACTGTCCACAGCACAACCTGTACGCGCAGCAGAGATTACAAACATAACCTCACACAAGGACTGGTAGACAAATTCAAGCCAGCACAACACTGAATAAGTGGGATGAAATTGACTTGGACGATGGAGGCAGAAAATATAAGGAATTTGCCCAGACGAACCAAACACGCAAATCCAATTTCGAATTTTCTCCGATTTAGGTTCCCATCAGCTGGGGCATCTCAATGTAAGGTGGATGGAGTAAATAATACTTCACTCACAAGCTTGCGCTTTACTGGCAGTGGAGGGCTGAGAGGGGGGGGGTCCACTATTAGAAATAAAACAGAACAGAATATAAATTTAACAGGAACCAATTTTGGAAACTCTGCTGAAGCAATGTCATCTACAGCGAAAGTTAACTTTATGAAGACACTGTGGAAGCAGGTGATAAGTAAAGCATAACTTAAGGGTGAGGTTATGTTTTATCAAATCCACAACGTCCATGGAAATCTTTTTACTGCAGCTAGCAGCAGATTGGCAACACAAGAGGCACCCCACGTGAAAAAGGACTCATCGCCACGCTCTTCTTCATGTTGCTGACAGAAACTCATAAACCAATATTTATTTGCACTTGATGATGAACATTCATGACTTCTTGATGTAACTGTACAGGAGAGATATGCATTTTTGGCTCTTACTGTACAAACAGAACATGATAAGCAGGACACATTAAAAGACTGCTGGTCCAATCTCGAACAACTATAGACACAATTTTACAGCAACACGATAAAACAGACCAATTTTTTCATATACTGTGATTTCTACGCTTTCGCACATACCAGACAACGCTCACAAGAATTATGAAGGAATTTTGAATGTAAGTTCTCTTTTTGATATGCTCAGTGACACCTACGCTAAATTTTATTTTGAATGTAAGTTCTCTTTTTGATAAGCTCAGTGACACCTATGCTAAATTTTAGCTGTTGATACAGACAATGTGCTGTTTCAGAGGTCATACTGCCTCTGTCGTCGCCCTGATGACGGAGGCAGCATGACCTCTGAAACGTTCGTAAACATCTACCAGACTACACAGCGCAACGACCCAGAAATCTTCAAGTATTATGTAGTGTAACATATCCTTCAATTCAGCATGCCTACTACATTAAGATTCAACCTTTGTGCTCGTAATGTTATTTTAAGTTGTGCGACATTTCCTGCTAAAAGAAGGCCCCTACCATATTTCACATCATAACAGAAATCTGTACGCACCCATCAGCTTAAGCCTGTTGTTTTCAAGTAACGCGGGTTTGTCCCTCTGTACGTTGTTGCGTGAAAATTCCACAAGTTCAGGGATGTGGTCAATTCCAACAGCTACGCCAGTTTCTCCCACCATAAGAGCCATACAGACCGTCAGGTACCCACTCCCTGATCCAACATCAAGTGCATGTTCGCCCTCCTTCAGATGATCCTTCAGCAACTCCAAAGCATGCGCATGCTAGAACAAGATGCACAATTACAAACAATCTGTGAAGTACAGAATAACAGAATTTATTTTTCTGTAAAAACTCAGCAACCTGTTTGTTAACCTTTAACTTAATCTCATAGCATCATTCCCAAACTGACTCTGATAACTCAGTTTTAAAGCGGTTTTCCCATCTCTCGTCCATCTGTATTTGCACAATCAAGAGCCGGGTTAGCTCAGTCAGTATAGTGACTAGCTACGGGCTGGACGACCGGGGTTCGATCCCCGACGAGGGAGAGGATTTTTCCTCTAGCCTCTGCGTCCAGACCGGCTCTGGGGCCCACCCAGCCTCCTCTACAATGGGTACTGGGGTCCTTTCCCGGGGGTAAAGCCGGCCGGGGCGTGATGCTGACCACTCACCCCCATCTAGTGCCTAGGTCAAGAAAGAGAGGAGCTATACCTCCACTCACCCCCAAGCGCCTACATGGCGTGTAGCGGGACAAACTTTACTTTTTACTGTACACAATCAACATACAGAAAGCAACATTCATAACAAATTAGTAACTACATGAAATACAACCAATATCAATGTCAATCAGTCACATAACACAGAAAACTTTGTCATTAAAAGAATGACAAAATTTTTAACTTCCCATGCCATGGTAAGTAATTTGAAACATAGAATAAAAAGTTCAAATGTTCATATTTCAGTGCGTACCGAACACATAGCAAATATCTTAAAACTTTGGTAGCTCAGCCTGTACCTTGACTGTACTTTAATTACTGCGGGTACAAAAAATGTTTCTCTGAATCTCCACATCCAGAGTGACTCTGCAGTCTACCCAGCCTCCAATCCAATAAGTACCAGGGGCCCTTTTGCCAGGGCCAAAGGGGCTGGGGCATGAAGCTAGCCACTCACCTCCACTATATATATATACACTTTAATATATCTTCATGGTGTGGTGTTTAGTTAATACCAGGAACAACCTCGCCTTTACCTTAGAACTTGGCAGCGCAAAAGATGCCTACAGTTGGTGGCAATACCATCTGTGGGACAGTGATGTACGACGTGCAGCTCACCACTTTGGTCATGTTGGACAGGCCTGAGGGTTTATATTACTGAAAGGATTACGATATTTTAGTGCAAGCTGAGCACGAGTCAACTCTATTAAGTCAAACCCATTTATCTGAGCACGAGTCAACTCTATTAAGTCAACGATTCTATATTAACATGTAACTAGAATGAAAGATCACAGGTTACCGAAAGAAAAGCCGAAATACCGTCAGAGAGGGAGAAGAAGACCTGGGAGCCCGCTCAAAAGACTGTTGGATGGCATAAATATTGAGACCGACACAGGCCAACCCCTGGCCCAAGTTCGAGATTTCTTTATGAAGATCGTGATTTAACGTTTAGCGTCCGGCATTGGGGTCTACACACACGTTCATACTTAATTGGCATTTAAATAGACTCAAGGTACTGGTTGTTACAAAATACAGTGTATTTATTACATTTTTTAAGCCAGAAATGGGAAATAAAAACTCCATTGCTGAGATCAACCCCATTTATTTGTATATGATGTTTTGCAATAATCAGACTTCATTTATTTTCAGTTATTTAGATTTTTCACATGTTCTAATTGCTTAATAAGTAAGATTTGAGGTTCTCATAGTGGTGAGTATGAAGATGGCTATCTTCTGGATTGTAGTGCCATGTAGTCTCACAGACGTTTACTTCTACCATACTACACGGCTTGCTTATTATTCAGATTTAAGCCCATACTGCATATTTAGAGTGGCAAGAACTCTGGGACAATTGTACTTGGCTTTGAATTGCTGTATGTTGTCTGGACGGTGATCACGTTCAAACTTCTGACAAAAATAAATACAATCTTTCTCAGAGTCCTTCGTCGGTGGTTCTGATTATAAAATATTTCACCAGAAGCAGCAACACTGAATGGCAGCAAATCAAGAAAGTAAAAATGGCATAAGGCATAAAGTTCCACACTTGAAATAAGACCCCTTTAGCAGAGACACATCATAAGAATAAGTAAGCTACACTGAAAGATAAGTGCAGCTGGCTGCTCCAGCTAAGTGTCATGGACCATTTTCTTTTGCATCAAAGGCTTTGTTTCTAACACAGGAAACAAATTTTATTCAGTACCCATTCCAACAGTTCATTTGAGAATTCAAAATGCCTGGTCCTGCACGCATCAGCTAAAGCAGTCTAAAAATAACTTCACACTGCGATACATTGAGATAAGAATCATTTCCTTCCACTCTCATACTAGGACTCAATTCGAATGCACAGGAAAGAGAACAAGACACAGCATCCACAAGCAGGGGTACAAATGAACAATGACTAGAACCCTGAAAAGCAACACAAGGGGTGCCTAAACAGGGCAAAGTGAATAGCCACACAAACAGGAGGGCCCATGACCATACACCAGACAAGGAAGACAAGATTACACCACACCAATTTGCATTCAAGGGGGTGTCAAAGTGGGGACAGCCAACAGAAGGGCCAAACAAGAATGTCCATTAATTTACTGGTGATACACCTGGCAAAATACAGAATGTGGCACCCTATATCAACAAATATTCAACTGCATATAGCATTTTGCATCTGTTATTATTCTGCTGGTACAGGAGACCAACAGATACCACCACCAATACTCACACACACTTGAGAATGGACCTTCTTCACTACCTGACATTACTGAATCCAGTACGTTTCTCTTTCTGACAACACATTCAATCCTCCAGAATGAATTTCACACCTGTTCTGCACAAGGGATATGAAAGAGTTCAAGCAAAATGCAAGGAGCGTAATGTGGGGCTGCGTACTAGTAAATGTTTCAAAGTTTACCACAAAAAATACAAACTTTGTGAACTGAGAAATGCTGGTAGGCTTTGAAGCCTAACCACACAGGTATGTAAAAAATTCTGACATATTCTCCAATGTTCTACTGTGAGTGAAACACATCAGTACTGAAGCACACAAAACCCAGTGCATGGGTCTCCTGAGGGATGGGGTTCATGAATTTAAAAACCCAGCATATGATATCATGTAAGTTAAAGGTTAACTTTAATATCTCATAACTAATCTAAAGTACATGCTGTTAGACATGTAATCTTTTACTGTTTCAATATTTCAGAAATCTATATACTAAAGTAACATTTATGCTTATATTATATACAATACCATATGTGGTGCACTAATTGTGACTCCGTAACCAATTCCTTGAGGAGCATCCATATATGGATTGAATTTAGCATACTTTCCACGGTCCACTTTTAACATGACATCTTCCACAATCTGACTTCGAATAATACCATTGGCTGAAAACAATGTGTGCACTTATACACCTGTTAAATACGATACAATACAGAGCAAACTCGAATAATTAATTACTCATTACCTCTCAAATTACGGACCATATCAGCATTATCCCTACCATGGGACCTCCAAGCCATGCCGTAATACTGGTTACAGTACAAGCACAATACACCTACTGCAACAAGAGTGCAGAACTGTTTCATAGATTAAATTATACGGTTGGCTCCATAATCTGGAAAGTAGTGTTATAATATATAAGCTTCACCTTTAAATAAAAGTGAGGTTATAAATTTTAACATTACCAATACTTTGCGAATAGTTACAAGATATCATCCACTACCTGAAACAAAAACTTTGCAAAACACATTTACTACACTGCTTACAATTCGTTTTCCGATCCTTGCAAAACGCGATGTAACTTACGACGTACCTCCAAAGCATGAGTGAACAGTATACCTGGATACTAATTTAATCATACTGGACTCAAAGCTGGCATTAGCACATGCCTGTCTTAATAGTATAGAGAACAATTAACAATGAAGTACTGAGAAACAGTAATGTCTCGTTTTTAGCATAAAAGTTTTCTTTATGCACAGTAACCCCTGAATTAAAATTACTTAAATTCGATATGAAACTGTTTCTTCAAACACCAGATGCCACGCAATTCGAAGTACGATATCGACATATTGATGTTACTATCGATAAGTGAAAAAATTGACAGTGGAACCACGGTTCCGGAGAATATGACATAAATACGTCTCTAATATAATGTAATAATTGTTATATAAGATAAGTACTTGTGATATTCTAAAACGTTTTTACCAGCACAAAATTATCTAGTCTACGACGCACTTCTTCTACAAGCGATTCACAGCTCAGCTCTTTCCGCAATAACGAAAGCGGATTGTTGACAGTAGTAATGCAACACATCTTCGTTACGCTTTTTTGCCGAATGACCCTTCCAAATAGACGTATTTACGTCAAAAAATTACAGTGACAAATGGTCACAATTTTCTTCTGTTATATTACTGTTGATATAATCAGTGCTTTAAATGGAGGAAAAATTACGTTTTATGTCAATATATATGATCCAAAAGTAAATACTAAACACAAATCATATGAAACAGAGTTAGATCCATCATCCCACCTGTTCTCCATTATTTATTGTCTTGTGTCAGTTACCACATCCAATAAATGAGATGTAAAAACATTTTAATAAATCACAACCAAATAAAAAAATATCTTCACACTTTAAAAATTATACTTCACCAGAATCAAATTGCAAAGCAAATAAATATATAATACATTAAACATAATTAGATATATAACTTACAAATTCAGTCTAGGATATAAATATAAAATAAATAATTATTACAGTTCAAGAATTCCTAATACATAATTTTAGCTTCTTTTATAAAAAATCTCTCCTTGTTTGTATTTGTATGGAGTTACTGGTTATTCTAGGTCATAAATATAAAACATACAATAACTGGAGTTAATAATTTCTAAAATACAATTTAGGTTTCTTTTATAAAAATATTCTGCTCTTCAGAAAATAAATTATCATAGTAGTTAATTAATTCCTAAAACATAATTTAAGTTTATTTTATAAAAGTGTTCTTACTTGTATTTGTATGATGTTAATTCTTATTTTGTCATAATATAAAATAAATAATCATTGAAAATAATAAATTCCTAAAACATAATTTAAGCTTATTTTATAAAAATGTTCCCCTTATTTGTACTTGAATGGAAATTTTTATAGTCTTATATATATATACTGTACTCAAGTCACATGGCAAAACAATCAATCAATCGGTTCATTCATAAATGCATGCATGCATAAATAAAATGGAGCACATATCAATGATAAAATAAATGGCACATTTCTCACACTTGGTCATATTGATCTAATACTTCTGTTGTATGCAACAGTCTCTTAACTTCAAAAATCATGAAGCGAAAGGCAGACTGTACATGTTCATCCCTACAGATATTGTCTGTGACACATGGGACACAACTGAGCATGTGAAGGGCGGCGCTGCTGCCTCCATTGCGAAATAGTAGAAGCCATCTTCTTACGTGGTCCCAAGCGGCTGAAAATAGAATAAATATTATATAAAGTGTTCTCCTTTCACACATAAAATTCATAACAAGCCCACACATGTAAACAGAAAAGCAAAGCTGTCCCCAGAAAACGTGGTGACGGTGCTTGGGCAGTACAGCTGCTTATTCTTGACCTCAGCACTAGATCAGGGTTTGTGGTCAGCTTCATGCCGCAGTTGTGTCTTACCCTCTGGAAAAGGACCCCACTACTCACTAGATATGAGGGTAGGTGGGCTCCAGAGCTGGTCTGGATGCAGAGGCTAGAAGAAAAATCCTTTTCCCCTGCTGGGGATGAAACCTTAGTAATTCAATTTGTAGTCAGCCTGTTATACTGACAGCTATTCTCACTCTTCATGCATGTAAATACACACTACAAACAATAAATCAGCACAGTCACAAATCAAAGAACCTCTGAGGCAGAAGAGTTGGCCACTCCTCCCATCAAGTCTCGCCCTCTGAGGTCTGGATTACTAGCAGAACTTATAAGCATACGGTCTAACCAAATTACAGATAAAACTTAACCTCACTACAGCTGGTGTTTAAAATACTACGCACTGTTCCAAAAACCACCATAGAAAATGAGAATTCACATGTTCAAGTTTTTCTCTGGTACAAGAGAAAACTTCACTTTGGATATTTTACTTCAGTTCTTCAATCGTGCGAGGTCTTCATCTGCAAACTCTTTTGCGCTCCCAACCGAAAATCACCTGGGCTGCGGTCAGTGGAGGATTATGGCTACTGATCACTACTGATAATTCTGTCCTGAAGTGTATCCTTCAAAGCATCCATGGATCCCAGTGGCTGAGTCTTCTTGAAACAATGTTAAAAAAGAGATGGAGTATATGCTCCATGTACCATTAACAGTTAACGGTGTCAATGAAGAAAACACATCCAATTATTAATGTGCACTTCTATTGCACCATATACCAGTTTTAGAATCACGCAAACGAATCCCCTGCATTAGTCTTGGCTGTGAATTTACTTCTCGTAGGAACACTTTCAAATAGGCATAGCACGTGAACAATGATAATTCCACTGTGTATCTCGTACGTGACATTCTGACACGGAAGATAACATGACTTAGCAAATGACCGCTTACTGCACAGTAAAGTATTGTAACGTCAGATAAATAAAGATGGAACTCAGATATGCATAAGGTGTCAGCCAATAAGGAATAAGTTCTGTTCATGACCATACCACCTGTAAAACTCACTGAAGTCTCCCTAATCAGTACTGATGTAACTGAACAAACAAATATGAATTCTGCTTATCAAGTGAACATAAAACTATCTAAATAACGAAGACCATTAAAAATTTTCACAAATTGTTATCAACTTGTTGCTTCATGATTTAAATTTATTATTTTCTGTTTTACCACAGCATTCAATTCAGACACTATTACTTCTAAAAGAAGGTAAATAGTTTGGCTAGTATACATTTTACAGACATGACGAGTTCAATGTTATTCTTAAAAATAAACGTATCTTTCTCTGCACAACAGCTACATATCAATTTATCGGTGCATCTGATTGTACAGAGGAGCTGAATACTTAAAGAGATGGGACTGGAAATGTGTTATACAGAAAACAAGACTGAAAATATATACACAAAATTTTCGAAGGCACCGTTTGCTGTGTTGCATACCTCATTTACGTGTACAAACCTACTGTTGCAGAGCTAAGCAGCAGTACATATACACACACACAGACAAATTATTTCTAATTATATGGAATAAACAACAAAACTCGAATATTTAAGACAGTGTCATCATTGGCTCAAGCGTCAAATAATACAGAATGACCAATTCTTAGATACGCTGATCAGAAGAATGGGCTATGTTTCCTTTTATTCTGTACCGACACATCTGATATTTCACTGCACTACTGTGTTATCAAATGAGCTGAAAGTGAGGAGAACAGGAGATATATATATATATATATATAGTCAGTAATGGACTACTGACCTTTACCTGGGAAATACAGATAACATGGATATAAAGTATCATGTGCTCAGAAGCAAAATATTACCCTGCAAATATAATGTATAAAATGAAATGTTCCATGCTGTACTTAACATATTAGAACAAAGCGCATATAAATGTTAATGCAATAATTTTTGGTTCAGTATCTCACAACAACTGCAACCCACTGTACACCGTCAATAATTCCTGTTAAAAGAGCATTTTTAAAACTTTATTGTACATAACATTACCACTCACGTGACTCCAATATCCTTCAAGTTATTTTCCGTAAATGAAAAGAAGGTTTCCATGTCTATGTTTCGCATTTGAAATAATGGCCAATAATCCATAAGATCCAGTGAACAAAGCAGATTATGTAAATCAATCAAGTGCAACTCTGAAAGAAAAAGAAGAAAAAGTAAACAAGAAGGATATCTGGACTAAATTCAGCACACACTTCCAAACCTATAAATCGTGTTTGTTACTATTATATTTAGAACCTCGTTACAATGGAATTTAGCTCCTAGTTTAACACGCTCATCTCATGAGCAATGGCCATTAGGACTGAATCCTACTAGAATCAGAATAATTTTTATTGTTTGCAATTGAGAATATGATACAGAGTGTTTTTTTATTATTATCGTCATAGTTATTATTACAAACATTTAGAGTGAGACAAGGAAATGTTGTGATGAATAACAAAAAAAGTAACCAAAAGAAAAGAGAGGAGATTGCCAAAAATTGTGATACATGCAGATGCCAAGGCAGATATTAGTAGACTGACAAGAGAAATTGATAATGAGGAAATTATAGGCAGAAAAATTTTAGAAATTAGTGACAGACATGCTCTGGAAAAAGAAAATTCCTGAGAAGGGGAAAGTACATATATTTAAAAGTTACTACGTGTCCACATTAATGTATGGAGCAGAAAACTGGACATGGGCCAAGACTGATGGCACCAGAGGTGATATGTTTACTGTGCATAAAATGAAAAACCAAAAGGGAGGGAATTTGAAGATAAACACCTTGGAAGACAAATTAACAAATAACAGAATAAAATGTTATGGGCTATTTCAAGAAATAACAAAGGGAGAATTCCACAGGTTTTGAACAAAAAAGTAAAAGGAAAATGCCCTACCAGGGAGGCTGAGATCAAGAGGGGAACAACAGGTCACGAAAGATATCACACACAGAGGAAGGTTAAACGTGGGGAGCAACTAAGGAAAATCATTGGGAAATCACAGACAGATGGAGAGGCTTGGATGTCAGATGACAAACTGGAAGTGGAAGAAAAAGAATAAATTAATTTAAGATCCAACAAGTTTCAGAATGTCACATAACAGTGTGTGATAATGTATAGCTTCAGCTTTCAACAATTATCTATATCAAATGTCATATGCTTTACATTTCGGCAAATAATGCAGTTGCCATCTTCAGCGTGAATGTGCAAAAGGGTTCTAGAAGCCTTACATAGAGAAGATGAGTGTGAGGTGAAGTACCTACTTTGTGGAACAAATGAGTGGTAAGCACATGGTTGAGAAAAAGAGGTGACGTGGTAAGGTTGAAGAAATTATGAAACAAGTTTTGATGACCCTGTGAATTAAGAAAGGAGGCTATAAAAAGCGTTAATGACCACACAGTTAGGAGAAGCAGTGACTTAGGAAAAGAGGTAATGGGAAAGAAGTGTCTAATACCATATTTATTAGGAGGAAACACATACTCACAGCAAAATAACCTACCACAAAACCTGGCGCTGGATGATAACATTCTTACGATATCAAAAAACCCGCAAGAATGAGCTATAGATATCGCACTTTCTCCCTCCCAAGATACCTTGGAAGGGTTACATCCTGCAGCTAGAAGCATTTTCACTACACTTATCTTCCCAGTTGCTGCAGCCACCATCAGCACTGTGTAACCATTGTCACGAGCACTGTTAGATATAAAAGTACATTTCAGTCATCAAAAGCCAGTGGTTTATATGTTTGGTAAGCATAGAAGTCTGTCAAATGTTTCAGTACAATTAAGAGATTATATAAATGAACATGTGCATACACCATGCATTTTAACATTCTTCAGTCATGGAGGCACAAGTGATCTGCCCCGCTTGATTCACTCACCAACCCTGCTGGGAACTCCAGCCCTCCCCTCCCATTTGTTAGATAAATTACTTTTTCCCCTTTGTCCCCTTTCTTTCTTTCCTTCCCCTCATTTAGGCATTTTTGCATGAAAATAAGAGGGAAATGAAAAGAAAATAAGCTTCAACAACAGTTTATATGCTGTGACTGCTGACATATTATAACAGTGTTATCAGAAGCTATCCAACAAATTTAAGTTGTACTTTTTCAAAAACCATTGCTCAAGAATAGCGGCTATACCTCCATTAAAACAATCTTGTCTAATGTTAAAAGAAGCAAGTGCAAAAGCATTGTTCTAGCAGCAGATATTTTTTCAAACAATCCTCTGTCATCAGAGTCAAAAGTCTTTTTAAGACACTCAAAATATGATTATGGAGGCATCAATTTCATTTCCCCTCTCATGACAGAACTTATGCTGGCACAGTCATCTACCAGCAGAATTTGGTAGCCCTGCTACCACTATTGTTGGCAGAGCCACCTACTGGCTGAAGCTTTCTAACGCCATATCACGCAGTGTGAATTTTTTTATTATCTAGAGAGATATTTGTAAAAACTAAAGCTTCACTTTTCCTTTTCTTTTATCAGCATACTGTAAGCCCTAAGTCATTATAAAGCTGATAATGGATAATAAGTTTATAGGCAAACTCACTGGTTACTCATGGCCGCAAACATAATAAGCAAATAATACAAACCCTTGAGAACTTATTTTAAACTTCCTGCACATACTTAAAGTGGTATTTTCTCCACAACAGACATAATTTTTAACTTTATACACAGCAATGTTGATACAAGAGGGTGTCGGGGGATAGGCTAGACTCTTGCACTATAATAAAAATTAAATCCCTTATCTTCGACATTTGTAAATGCTGCGATGCTTTCCCTTCACCTCCGTTGCTGTAGGCCTGCCAATCTACTAAGACATAATGAAGAGTAAGCCATCTGTAACTTTATTTTCCTGTGATTCTCCTCATAATGAATACAATCCAAGTTACAAGCAACTTGACTTTATATCTTTATAACAGATAAGACTGTCAAATTATCTTTTCAATTCAGATTGTACTATGAACCGTACCACACGTTTTCTGGGACTGGGTAGATGGAGAACTGGCATGTTTATTTTACGCCATCAGCCCAGCACTTTTAGTGTTCAGTGCTGTATTATGCAAATATGTAAACTACACAAAATTAAATTTGACAGCAGTGCCATTGAAGTTCACACTCCATGAAGAGTTAGAAGAACACGGTTAAATTAGATGACCCAGATTCTTCATCTTCTGGTCACCTGCAACTCTTATTAACACACACTGCAAAACACAACTTTAGAAAAAAATACTGTGACTCAGTTATGCATCAAAAACAAAATTGGGGGGCAGAGAGGACATGACTGTACCCATATGTACTGTATCTCAAACTACAGCACAACAAACCATGTGATACTGCAGTTGGACTGTATATAAATATTAAAATAGTACAAAATGATGAAATCACTGTATAAAAGTTATATTTTTACATATATTTTGTTATTCATGTTAATTATATGTCATTTATGTTTCGATTTTATTTCATAGCTGAATGCCTTGGTTGCTTAACCCTTGTTCTCATTCTGTCATCTACACTCCCACAGAAATTTGAAACGTAAAGTTGTGAAACATTCCACGTTTATCTCCGATTAAATTAAAGGATGTACTTACACTAAATTAACATCTGCTCCATGCTCAAGTAGAAATGCAACAGCATTTTGCCGTCTCCTGGATACAGCATGAAAAAGTGCGCTCCACCCTCGTTTGTCTGTCATGTTGATAATATTGTCCTAACAGGATATAAACATGTTTTAAAATCAGAAAATGTGACTGATGATATATTCAAATGAATAATGCACATAGTTTAGTCATGAACTTGAAAACTGAAACACATCTGAATTATATAAAACACTCTAAAAATGGATTTATTATACATTAATCTTCACCAGTCAATTAGGTTAAAAGAAATAATATTATATTTAAATATATAAATGAAAACAAGGTTATATAAATTTTCTTAGACCAAGTTCCTATTCCAAAATGATTAGGCAAGGCAAATAGTAGTAAGTACTATTAGAAGTGCAAATAATGTACACAGTAAATCAAAACACACACACACACACACAGTTCTTATTAATTACAGAAATTCATTTGTGAAGATGCATCATGATTAATGCAATACAAAATCTTTATAAACTTATGCTTAGAGAGTCACAATAGTTATTGTTAGGGAGTTTAGAAAGTAATCATAACTAAATGCACCAAGTAAATAATTAGTCATGAAAATATCTTAATTATTCAAGTGGTTACATTAATTGTATGAAGTTTTAAAAACTTTACATATTTTTTATTAAAACCCAACAAAGTTATCAGTTATAGTTAAATGTCAATAGAGCAGCATACCTTTCACAAACTAAAACATACATGAAATGAATGCAAAGATGGCCGGTCATGTCCATCCGCCCATATGATTAAACTCAAGAACCACTGGACATATTTGGATGAAATTTGGTATGGACGTTATGGCATTGAGACCACCCTAAAATTGTATGTCTTAATTTTCTAGAATCAGAAATTCCAACATGGCAGATGAACAAACTTGTGAGGTGGGACCAACATTAGAACTACTTGTGATAAGGCCATACAGTGATGTACGGTAAAATATTTTCAGAAAATATAAAACTTTGGTATATTAATTCTTTGTATAATGTAAAATAACAACATGGTGACTGCACAAATGAAAAAAAAAATTACTTATCAGGATTCAACCCTATAACCCCATGTATGTAAGTCCTGTACGCTACCACAGAGCTAAAGCACCTTATGACATGTCATTATTGATTTATGGTACTTGGAAAAACCACATGATTTGATTAGTTTGAATCTAGAGTTGTTTAAATACGATAAAAGGCATAATCAGAATGCATGTGTGTATTCCAACATGAAACACACCTTTCCAGTCTTGTTACATTGATGAAGATTACAGGCAATGCCAAAATCATAGAACACAGTGGGCTTATGACAAAAACACACTTTTCCACTTCAGCCAACAGCATTAGTTGTAATAAAGGCTTCTCAAAGTGTATATGCATGACATTTACTCGTTTCTTTGGCATTAAAATAGATGCATATGATACTTAACTGTTGTGGAATTTATTGGGAAGTCACAAATGTTCAAAATACCATCACCACAAATGTACTGTTGACAATGACGCATAACACTTTTTTAGTCAAACAGCAGCCATACAGCAAAGTTCAATGCATCTGGCTTTCTGGAATTCAGTGTTCTTTAGAACACACATGCACACAACCAGAAGACCACTGTCAAAACTCACATTGCTATGAAAACTTTGAATCCTACAAATAAGACAAACATTATGACTTGGCAAAAATTCAAGCAGAAAAGTCCCCACTGAAACAATAACCACGACAGACAGTTTCACATTTGTAATGATTTATGTAAAATATGCTATTACATGTAATATTTTGGCACACAGACAATTTATAAGCCCTTAACAGAACCTAGTACTTTACCTTATAAACTAACCCCAACATCTTCTCATTTCCATTTAAAGCTGCAAGCATAAACCTAGTACTTTACCTTATAAACTAACGCCAACATCTTCTCATTTCCATTTAAGGCTGCAAGCATGAGGGGTGTCTCTCCTGCACCGTTACAGTCAAATCTGTCAACACCCCACGAAATCAACAGTTCCACTATTTTGTCATGGTCATTGTAACATGCATACATCAGTGGAGTCCATCCACTTATATTCTTCATCAACAATCTACCATTTTCACTGCTGAAACAAAATACAACAGATGCAAATTCTTGGACATTTGTCTTCATCTCTTACGTTCACAAATTTTAAAAAAAATTTAAAAACAATGGGAATTTGGCAAGCTGGTTTTTCTTCCATATCAGGTAAAACCACTGCAAAAATAACTTCCATAACCATACAAACATATTACATTCCATGGATCCATAAGTTAGCCACATGACAACAGAATGTGGAATAAGTCATAATAATACAATACATATATACAAGTACAATTCATACTATTATAAAGATTTCACATAAAATAAACAAAGAGTGCACATACAGTACTGACAAGTTACAAATAAATCCATTGATTACAAAGCAGTAGATAAATTCTTCTTCTGTGGCACAACGGCCCAAAGTCGAGCCTTGGCCTCCTCCCACGCGGAAGGTTTCCTTGTCTTTGAAGTGTGCATTTGAGTAGTGAGTGACAGGTCCACTGCCTCTGCACAATTTCTACTCAATCCTGATTTGACTGCTAGAGCCATCTAGTAGAGAATCAGGAGAGACTTTGGGTGAGAAACTGCCGCTGAATTTTGTTTACGTAGCATCTCGTTCATGCTCATAAGGTTCTTTTACATGCCATAAATGTATGACAAGTGACTGCCAGCTTTACTTCCCTTCCAAAAAAGTTATGCTATGGATTTTTATCACCCTTAAAAATCCATCAACCTCGGCCGTGTTTAAACCCGCAAACCTTGGTTCCGGTGGCGAGCATGCTAACCACTAGTCCACCATGGGCGACAGTAGATAAATTATACTACCCTTTTACAGTATATATAGAGAGAAAACCTTTATAAACATCATGAGTTATCTGTAAACACTATAAATTTATCAATAGAGTAAAAAGAGTATAATTATCTTATTAATATTACTTTAAATTGTGCCTTTTTATTTGTATGACTTGTGAAAATAGATGGTAAAATGCAGTTCTGCTACACGCCATGTAGGTGCTTGGGAGGTATGGCTCCTACTCATTCGTAACCTCGGCCGTGGATGGGGGTGAGCGGTCAATGTCATGCCCCAGCTGAGCTTCACCCTCAGGAAAGGACCCTGGTACCCACTGTATAGGAGGCTGGATGCAGAGGCTATAGAAAAAATACTCTGACTGTGTCAAAGATCAAACCCCAGTCGTCCAATCAGTAGATAGGTACTATACTGACTAAGCTACCCAGCTCATGAACCTAGATGGTACACTGTTGCAAATTTTGATGCCACCAAAATATGCACTCTTCTGAAAACATGAGAGACTGGAAACTGGTCTATGAAGCCGATTCTTATGCCTTGTGTTGACACTGCGTACAGCAGATTTAGTTTGAAAAATTCTTGGTTATTTACAAAGAAGTTCACATTCTTCTGTACTAGATGAATGATTATGGAATAAGGGATATGCATAAAATTATCAAATGAAAAATTGAAATTCAAGTTACCTATTCAAAACATGGTATATGACATCATAATCTCCAGTGCTTGCTGCAGTATAAACATCTATGAAAGGAGCACCTCTGAAGGCATTCTTATCCATAAACATTGAAATAACTGGTTGCCGTGCACAGTTCACTGCCCATAATGAACTCAAAGGACACCCATTGGACTTGTAGTGTGCCATTATTTCATCAACTAATATCCTGGCAAAGATGGTACAGCAGCATTTGTATTATGATGCCCCTCACACCTATAACAAAAATTACACTTTATACACGTCAAAGTTTCTTCATAAAGAGTATGTGTGTAAGTATATGCAGCCCTTCTGCAGGGTTTTTTTACACTTTAAAACACTCTTCTTATAAAAAATATAACTATTCTTTATCCAATTTTCAATTGACGTATATTATTCTACACAGCAAAAGGAGTGAAATAAAAGATAATCTTTCATTGCTGACTTAAATACTTTAATTCATGCCAATCAAAATTACTATTTTCACATTACAAATCATAAAATACTCCTCCAAACAGCATTAAAAGTTTAAATCATGATATAAAAGTATTTAAGCTGGCATTGCAAAACTGTCTATCTCACACCTTCTACTCTGCATAATTTACTTTATTTTATTGTATCATGTCTTCATATTCGTACTGTGACAGCTTTCACATCTTTGGCTTGCACTATGAAGGGCCAACGAATATAAATAAATTCTAATTCTACAGATATTTTACTCTCCGATTTTCTCCTCAAGTGTGTTTCAACCTTCAAGATTTCATAACAAAAATGTATCTCAATAATACTTCGACTGGAAATGGAAGAAATATAAGTGTTTTCATTAATTTAGAAATAGACGGATAATAGAAACGAATATACGCATAAAAACAGCCAATTCGTTGACTTATCTTTGGCGTGAAATTTCAAGTCAATTTTATTATACTCTTAATACCCTGTAATGCAGATGTATTTCATCAGTAGATCCTGTGGAAATTGCACAAACCACTTTTGTATAATTCTACTAGTTCCGGCATGTGAAATATTTGTTTATAATAACTTACCTAGTCGTCACCCGGATACTAGTATAAAAGGAATTTCACATATTTCAGTAAGAAACTGTCATTTAAGTTTCTTCGTTTACAATTACTGGCGATAAGAGTTGAATGGAGAGAATGCAAAATACACTTATTTCCAGACACATAGTCTAATATCACAGCACAGTTTAGATGCAGCTAATATAACATGATGCACTGATTGAACTGGCATATTTGGATCATAGCAATAGGTATTTGGGTACTGCATCCAACTCCGACTCGCAGTTTTGGGTTGACGCACAGGTAGGTAGGGGAAGGTTATGATGGAGATGGCGTCGAATCAGCTGATTAGAAATTGCGTCGAAGTGCTGAGGGATAGAAAGAGTACTTGTTTTTAGTATAAAGAATAGACCATTAGGGACTTAATACGAATTATTAGCCAGGAATACAGTTTGATGTCATCTGTGTACCTTTTAAGAAATGAAAGTTGCCAGTTTTACATATTTGTTTGTGCCAGATGCAAATTACCGTACTACTATTTTAAGAATGATGAAAATATGTCTGACGTGAAGCGCAAATAAAAGATAATACGGGTGGTCGATGTTACTGTTGCAGTGTAACAGTATTAGTGTTTGTAGATTAAAGTAAAAGTTACTTAGTTCTAACGAAAACAAATACGTCAAAAAGTTTATCTGATGGTGTACCTGCCTTTAAATTGTAGGTCCCCATGACAATAATTCGCATCAGTATGAAACGAACACAAATGCATTTCTGAGTTAAGATAACAGTTTATCAGAATTTGTTTCGAGAATTTTGTTGCATTTTTAATAACCAAAACTGGATTCAAGCACCAAGTCAGAAGACACCATGGATGTAGATAATGAGAAAGTTGTAATAGAGGATACAGGTGGAAACTTGGCTTCAGGAGAGCCACTTGGAGATTTTGATGATAAAGTAGAAATAAAATCTGCTGAAGATGTAGGATATGGGGAATCAAGAACCAAAAGACACATCAAGAAGGATGATAGTGGTATCTCTGTAGAAAAATCTGAAAACACTTCTGATGATGATGATGCATCTAAAAAGCAGAAGACAGCCAATGGACGACTTCAAGAAGGTGATAATAGTTCTATGAAAGGAACTGGATTTCTTCCAAAGCTGAAATCCAGGACCAAAAACAGAAATTATCGCATTAAGAAAGGTAGAGGTTTAGGCAGGGGAAGTTCAGATGAGGATGAATGTACAACTGCAGAATCAAAACAAGATTCACCAAAACCAGGTGAAGGAAGGAATAGTCCTGACTCTGGTCACCAGGAGAGCAGCTCCGCTCCTGATGATGTGGAAGCAGAAGAGTCTAGCAAAGAACCAGCAGATCTAGAAACTCCTGGGGTGGACAGCACTAGGAAACGTTCACGAGCCTCTGAAAGTGAGGAATCAGAGTCTGCTGGTAGTGAGGAGAGGACAACTGAACTTTCAGATACTGAGGAAGAAGAGGAAGAAGAAATTACACCCAGTGTCTTGTTGAAGCAGAAACCCAAACATAAGTGGTTTGTTATGCAGGAAGTTGTTAATAGGTATGTAACTTTCATTCTTATTCATTTCTTTTTGTTTATTTTGGTACCCTTTTAATTGAGGAGATGTGGGTTGATAAAGGTGGTGGTGGGTAATGTGAGTTCAAGGTTATGTTATCTTAGGCTAGATTAGTATTGGAAGTCAGGTTTTATCATGGCTTTTTAATGGGAAATTTTGATGTAAAGAATTTGTAGTGTAAGCATTTTATAAAAAATACAACAGTTGGCATTCTGCAGTGTCTTTCTACATATTTACACAGTTATGTCACTTTTCGGCATCCACACAATGACAGCCTGCCTTTAGCTGAATGCTACCAATTTATTTGACCATGCTTCTATAATTGGTCCATCAGAGCAAGAAAAGCACCATACCTAGATTATAAGAGATACTGAAAATGCAGTCCCTCTCTAGGTTTATATTTATCCCAGTACAAGTGTAGAATGACTCGGGTCATGTGCTGACCTACATATGCTAAATGCTAACATCATTACTTACCAGAAAGGTGCTTAATATGCAGGGATCAGTTTATTCAAAACTGCATTGAAAGTATAAATCATTATACAGCAAAACCCCTCAAGTTGGTCACCCCTCTGTATTGGACACTTTTAATTGGAACTGGCGAATATCCAATAATTTTATATATCCACAATACCCTATATCTTGGGCACCCCTTTTGTTGTAAGTTGGACAGGTTCATGCACTTAGCTTCAATACTTTTCAGGTAAATGTTTGCAGTTATTTTGTTGTTTTGAATTTCTGACTGAGGAATGCCTTCTATCTTGAGGATTAACTTAAGGTTGAGGGTGGGAGACATTGAACCCATCTTTAGAATGCAGTGAAAGAATTTGGTTATTCTTTTGTTGAAGCCTTCACTGGACTACAGAATTGCAGATAGTTTTAACTCCATCAGCACTGTGCTTCCATTTGAGTTCAAACTGTGTTAACGGAAATGGGACTTTTCTCTTTGCGATGGAGAAGCGAAAATTGATGGAATTAACTTTAGAAAATTTTATTGAGGCTGGAGTTTAATGTACAATGCATGGGAGCGGGCTTCACAAGATTATTATTAATACTATTGTCATTAATTCTTAATTCAAGTAAGTAAATAGATTATATTGTCATTAGACCACAATATGATTTTTTCTTTCCCTTTATCTTGGACACCTCTGTAAGTTGGACACATTTTCGTGGAACCGCAAGTGTTCAACTTAGAGAGGTTTTACTGTACTTACAATTGATCAAAATTAACACTTGAACAGTAAGTACATTTCTGAACTGTATAATCGTTTTTTGTATAAAATTTGACAGTAATAAACCTGATATGTTGAAGACTTTCTGAAAAGTGTTTTTTATTTGCTGAACTTTTAGGACTTATACCCCTTTACCTTAGTAGTTTTATCTTTGTAGTTGAGAAAGCATTGTTAAATAAAGTAGTAATAAGAATAATTCTGAAATAACTGTATTTTGAGTAATGACTTAATGCATTTTCATGTTACTGACTGTATGTTTTGTCACTGAGGTACTTTCTACAGCTTCACAGCCCAGAAGAATATGAAAAATTGAAGTCATTTGCAGTAGAAAATATTGATTTGTTTTCAGGCAGAAGGGAGTGAGTAGTCGCTATCGAGGAGCGGAGTTGTTCCAGCAGCGTTGCTATGGTTCCCTGCATTCAGTCCAGCGCTTGGAGTTGATGTACAAGTTGGATGCTCATCAAGGCTGTGTTAATGCTCTTCATTTCAACAGTTCAGGCACTCTTCTTGCCAGTGGCTCAGATGATCTCAGCATAGTTGTGTGGGACTGGGCAGTAGGCAAGTTCCTAGTTACTTGTGACAGTGGTCATAGAAGCAACGTATTTCAGGTCAGTTTATGGCATATGTCATTTGTTTTATTTGTAGATAGGCTGAGAAATCTCCACAGTGCAACATGTGTTGTATGTCTCAAAGAATAATTTGTACCATCAGGTGTGGTAAACAGGGGAGGACAATCTAAAATGGATATCACAAATATTGGCTGTGAACTTGCGGCCCTCGCCGCATCCTGACCCTACTCCCTACTGGTCTAGTTAAGGTTTTGCCTAGTCTGACTGGTACCTGCATCTCAAAGCAATTCCACACATGTGGTGTACTTATTGCCCTAATGATGGAGGCAGCAACCCGGAAGACAGCCATTTGCTTGTACAAAGTTTTACACTGACATTTTAGATTTTTTAGAATTGATGTAACTAACCCTTAAGATGAGAAAAATGAGATTAATTCTGCTACACATGATATTCTAATATGTAGTAAGCATTAGAGCATTGAAATTAATTTATTTCATAGCATTGGAATTGCAAGGCAAAAGATTAATCTTCAGAATGACTGGATCACAATTTTCCAGGCCAAGTTTCTGCCATTTACTGGAGACACCCATATTGTGTCATGTGGACGTGATGGACAGGTGCGCCTGGCAGAATTATCCGTAACAGGGTTATACCGTTCAACCCGTCGCTTAGGTCAGCATCGTGGACCTGCCCACAAATTGGCTATACATCAGGAAACACCCCATGTTTTTCTAAGCTCGGGTGAAGATGCGCTCATCATGAGCTTTGATGTCCGTGAAGAAAAACCAGAGAAGTACGTGATTATTCTCTTTAGTTAAAAGTTTCTATAAATATGTGTGTTCTTTTAGGAGCAAGTTCAGAGCAAGTGATAAGGTATTATACTTTATTGTGTGAAATCTGCACAAAACTCTATTGTAAGAACTGCATATCTTAATCATGCTAAGAAAATGTACCTGTTTTTTCCCATTTTTATCATGATTGTCATTTGATCTGGTAACTGCTTTGCCCCATCTCATTGTAAACTTTTACATTTAATCACCTGCCAGTGGTTTATTGTGTAAGCGCGAGACATCGTCCCTTGCCGGGTAGCGCCATTCTTGCATACGAAACGCATTGCCAGAAATGGTAAACAGTGCCTTACAACTAAAACATGGATGTGCGGAAAGCCTTGACTTTAAGTTAGGGTCTGTTGCTGCTGATGAGAGGTTGTTTCGTCAGGTCCTTTGCGAAAACGATTTTGGTTGGATGGCTGTCTGGGATTTGGACCCAGAGGGGCAGGATTGCTTTGGCTGAAGGCCTGTGCGACTTGTGGAATTAGCTGATAATTGCCTTCCAGTAGGGTAGAGTTTCTTTGGAGTAGCGTGGATAGTGCTATCTTGTAAGTTTTTTCTATGTGGTCAACACATTTAGAGCACAGTTACAAATTGCTTTAGTTTTCATGAGACTGGCAACTTGACATTTTCCTTACAATCACCATGGCTGCAGAAAAAGGTAATAAATATGCATTCTGAGGTATCTGTGTGAGTTATATTTACCAGCTATACATACTTTATTTAGAAGTTAATACCTCGTCTTTTGTGATGATTTAAGGTGTTTTTGATATACTGAAAGATAATCTTTTATAGGCTTCTGCATGTGAAAGATGGTGAGAAGAAGATCGCACTGTTCAGCATTCATATGAATCCTCTGAATAACAATGAATTTTGTGTCAGTGGTCGAGACAATTATATACGTATCTATGATAAAAGGAAGGTGTCAGACAACACTCAGCTCAAAAAGTTCTGCCCTAGACACCTGGTAAGTTTTTATCGTGTATAATCTTCATTCCATAAGCATGATTCATCATCATCAATAGCGCTTGAACTCACTTGGAGTCTGCTTCCTTTAAGAGCCTCCGGCACTTTCCTTTATCCAGAGCTCTTGTCCACCGCCTTCTAATCCCTCTCGTCCTGGCGTCACTATTGACTCCATCCAGTCACCTTTCCTTCAGTCTTCCGATAAGCCTTAGAGGTGTGAGAGTCGGTACTTTCCTTTCTTATTTTTTTGGGGCTACTAGCATAAATTCTGTCTTCTCTTGATTAATTTTCAGACCCATTTCCTTAATTGATTTTTCAAGTGCTGAAATGGCTTCTGTTAACAACAAACCTTAACCACTTTCCTTGTTATCCTGAATTGTCTAAGGTTTGAAATTTTGCCCTGAATATATCATCCCAAGTTAACTAGTAGCAGAATTTTCTTGTTATGAATTCATTTCTCACCTTCATTCATCTGCTGCGCTTTATTTGAAAAGCAGATATGTTAGTTCTTTACAGAAATTCTTGCTGACGCTCGTCATCATATACTCTCATATCCTTCTCGTTCTCTGAAAAGTTATCTGGAGAGCCGTAGCTAGCATTGCAATTCTCCTCACGTGCGTCTTACTGCATGCTGTTACAACGACATGCGTGTTTTTCTTACAGACAAGCTCTGGCACCTTCACTCATGTCACATGTGCTGTGTTCAATTACAATGGAACAGAAATTCTTGGCTCATACAATGATGAAGACATTTACCTCTTTGATACAAGGCATCCCGATGGTTCTGACTTCATACATCGATTTGAGGGTCATAGAAACAATGCTACAGGTATATGAATTGTTGGTTATGTTTATTTTACTCTTATGTATTGTCTTTTAAATATACAGGTTGTCATTTTTTGTTTGGACTGCCTATGGCACTCGCATGACCCAGACGGCTGTGGCGGGCTGGCTGTGAACAAAGCCATTCCAAACTAGGTACAAAAACAAATTATATAAAGTTGCCAGTTCAGAGGAGTCTCCAAAAATGTTCCCCTTGTGCTCAAAAACGTGCATTACAGCATGAGAACACGCTTTGGTGCACATGTTGCAGCTATACTGGGAAAATCCTGGGCATTTTTTCTCAGATATTTTATTCAACTTCATGTAATGTGTAGGGATTTCTTTTGTACACTTTATCTCTCATGCTACCCCACAAATAAAAATTACACAACCCGTGGTCTGGGGAATTATTCATCTTGCACTGATTTCATTCCAAACACCAACTCCTAGATGATGCAGTGGTGCTTCATGAAGGGGTACTTCCCAAATAAGAGTTGAGAATGTTACCTCTGTTCCAGCCTCCTCAAACAATGTAAATCAAGAATGAATGCAAATGATGTCTACTACGTCACAATGGCCTCTTTAATGAATTCAGACTTCCTAGTTTCATATCCATTACACATCATGTGGTTTGTTACCGTGTTTACGGTTCTATTGCAGTATTTGTGTGCCTTATTTTGTTGTTCCAGTGAAAGGAATCACCTTCTTTGGTCCCAAGAGTGAATATGTAGTCTCAGGATCAGACTGTGGTAATATTTACTTCTGGGACAAAGGGACTGAATCCATTGTCCAGTGGATGCTTGGAGATGAAAATGGAGTGGTAAGATCACAGACTTGTTTTATATCCCCGAATAATCTCGTAGATTTGAACACAGTTGACACCTTATGACAAGTGAGACCACCAGTTGGGTTAGGTTTCCATGTTGGGCCAAAACCTGTTTCTCTATATATCGTAATGTCTGGGAAGGTGAGGCAGCTTTTGTCTTATAATTTCCTTTTCTTCTGTTGCTATTTAACTTACTGAGAACTTTTTTTGTCCTGATGCCTGTCAGTATTCTTTTAACTACTGACGTCTGTTGTTGAATAAATGAGCTGGTCTTTAAATTTGGTGCCTCATAAAAATTATTTTCCTAAACGTTCTGTGGCCAGTGCAAGAGCCACAGAAGTAAGAAAATGAATTAGATAAGGTGATAAATGATTGATTTGTAGGATTTGAATTCACTCCTCTTCATTTGTTATTTTCAGTTGTCCACTTGAAGTGAACTTCAAGGAAACTTGATTTATTAAGAAAATTACCTGCGGTGTTTACCGGACATCGAGATTAAAATGTAACCCTATGTGAACACATTTTGTTGGACACTGATTCAGAGCAAAGACTCAGTTAACTTGAAGTTTGATTTTATATCAAGTAACTCTCATAATGCCCCACAGCGAATATAAAACAAATGTTCTCTATAGGTGAACAGTCCCGCGCCGTAGCCGCGCGGTCTGAGGCATCATGCTTCGGACCGGCGATACGGAATGCGAGCTGGTTCGAGTCTCGGGGGAGAAGAAATTTTCTCATGAGATTTTCGACCAGTGTATGGGACCGGTGCCAACCCAGCATCGTGAGGAAATTGGGGAGCTACAATGAGTAGCGTAATCCGGTCAGGAAAGCTAGCAATGGCTGGGGGTTCGTCGTGCTGACCACACGTCACCCTGTATCTGGTTAGATGATCGTTCACCTCTGGTTAGGCATGTGAACGTGAGGCCAACAGTCAAGCTAGTCGGTTTTGGCTCTCTGGAGCTGTTACGCCACGGATTTATTTATTTTATTTATAGGTGAACTGCTTGGAGCCACATCCTCAGATTCCTGTTCTAGCAACTTGTGGGTTGGATGAAGATGTGAAAATATGGGTGCCTTCCTGTGAGCAAGAACCCACCATGACTGGTCTCAGATCTGTAAGTTCATATGCTACAATTACAGTGGAACCCCATATTTACGCTTTTCTGGGAACTGATGGAGAGTGGTGTAAAAATGCGGGAAATGCAAAAATCATAGGTTTAGTACTTTGCCTTAACCCTTAACATCTATCTTATGAGCAACCCTTATGCTGGGCTTTGGGCATTTCATTACTGATGCATTTTGGTCAGCCAAACACATCAAAAAATAGGTTAAATTTTCTTTTACACATGTTTGATGATGTCATTTGTTTCAAAAGCTATCAGCACTCATCAGTATGCCACATTTAGTATTTTTTGTACTATTCAGAACACCAATACACAGCCCCAGATAACTCTCCTTGTATTTTACTTACACTTTCGTTCATTCAAAACCAATGTGACAATTCAATCTTTATGAAAAAATTGGCACGTGTTTGCTGAAATTTACCTCAAGTGAAGTAAGTTTTCTTTCTATGACAGCTCATTTGCAGTGGGACAACAGAAATTAGGTAAACTCCTAGCATTTTCAAACAAGTTTTGCACGAGTGTTAGTAAGAAATTTCTGTGTTCAATTTTGATATCACATGATACCAATTTCCATAATCTGTCATAGTTGTAATATTTTATGTTATTAAGCATGTCAGTTACAATCCAGCTCCTGTTTCAGGCTGTAGTTTCTAATTACAAGGGCCGTGAGCATGACCGTCAGCGAGATCCAGATGCTTTTGATGGTCAGATGCTCTGGTTTCTGTGGCGACATATTCGGCGTACTGAGCTTAGGAGGGTAAGGGATCCTCAAGCTGCAGTGTCCTAACTGTACTCCTTCTTCTTCTTCTAACATTAGTTTTAAGCGTGTCTCACAGGGTTCAGCTTTGGCATCTACATCTGTCCCCTTGAGTGAATATATTTTAGTTAAATTTGGTTTTCAATATTCATCATCAGTCAGATTTTACTTTGGTTAATTCAGATTGTCACAGCGCAAATAACACTTATTTAGGTAGTGTTTTAATGAATACTGCAGACATCTAGTTCTATAAATAAGGGATTCATTATCAGGGATACTGTAGATTTCCAGTCCTCATTTCCCTCTACTTTCTCTCATGACTTCACATCTTTGTGATTTGTCTGCATGAAGTGCTGAATATGCAGTGAAGAAGACATCCATCTACCATCTTTCATATCCAAAACTACAGAGATTGATAAAAATTTGTTTTGGGGCTTTGCACTTAATGTTGTCAAGCAATGAAATTATTGTGCGTACCAGTCGGTCATAATCTTTTAATACAGAACCAAAATTTAACTACAAAATTTCTCAAAAATGATACTTCATACAAAAAGAAACGATTTGTATGAGACATAAAATAGGCATCATTAAGATGTACAGGTTTTGTTTTTAAAAAATTCCAAATTATCTAATATTTAACAACAAACTACAAAACATAATTTACATGTGAGTACTTTTGCAACAGTAGTTTACATCTGCAGTAAATCTGCATCAAGGCCGATGACATGCAGAATTGAACACTTTTGGAAAATGTGTGTACTCCATGGAACACTTGTTGTGGTGTGTATGTATTAGATACTTTGGAAATCATTTGCCCCTTCCGACAACTATTTTCATTTCTGCAGTCACGGAATGAGAGCTCACTAAGGTGGTCATCTATTGCTCCTCTAAGTCATTCCTCCCGTGGCAGTAGTGGTGGAGAGCGAAGGTCGTCTGCAGCGGCACCTGACCAGGACACGACTGCCAGCGAGAGCTCCAATAGTTCGGACAGTGAGGACGGAGCGCAGCGTGTCCAGTGCTCCCCTTCTTAAGAAACTTGTACCAGGTATATGCTCTTCTGAGGGCATCCTTATTTTTTGAGGAGTATTTATAATTATTACATTATTTATGTTTGTTCTAACAATACTGTGCAGGTCATCAATGATTTATATTGCAGCATCTAAAGAAGAAACTGTAATTACCTTGATTTAAAAAGTCCGATGCCCAAGATGTCAGTGGACTATTTGTTAGTAAAGTCTCTTCCTTTCTGAAAAGTAGCACAGGATCTCCTTTGTTTACAAACGTTTGCTGACAAAAAGGAATATTTTAAATATTTCTCAGAGATTTTCTGTTTCTAATAATTCACCAGAAATGGACTTTCCTCATTCTAAATTAAAATTAATAAAACTGTGATTGGTTAAATTGTGGTGTTATGCATAAGGATGACAGAATTATTTATACCGAGTGTTGAAAAGTGTGACGTGTTTTCTTTCCAAAGAAATTGCTGAGTTAAGAAAGCATAACATTAGAATATTACAGAAGAGGATATTACTTGCAAGTATTGCATTAAAAATAGAGCATGCACATAATAACCCAGATAAAAGGAAGATAAATTAAAGGCATTTCATAGTGACTGTATTTTCCTTGAATTTACGTAGGGAGTGTTTCTTCAGTCTCATAACAATATTAAAAAAACAGCAGTAGTTTGAAGAGTTCTTTCACATAAGATGAAAGAGTTAATTATACAAGAAAGTAATGGAAAGGTCCTACACTTTTTGGTGAATTAAGGAATGTTCGCAGATAGATACGTGAAGAAAATACTGTATTTGCAGACTGTCATGTTGAGTTCTAACATTGTGAAGTTATGTCGCATGACCAGAAATGTTGTGATATAAATAGAAATTTCACAAGTTTAAGTAATGGTGATATGTATTTAGCAAAGAGAAGTTATGTAAATCTGAAGCTAATAGCATGTACAGTGAAATATAACATAGGTAGAAGTGAAAATAAAGGATATTTATGATGGAAAGCAACACTTGAGTAGGAATCTCGGCACTGTAGATTTAATCCATTGTTTTGGAATACTGAGTTCGACTTGTGGCACGAGATGGCAGCCATTCTGAGCAACATGCGGGTATGTTCTCGACTACTTCATTTCGCCTAGATTCGGTACTTGGCAACAGATGGCACGTAATCATAGCCCTTTCAAATCCCTGACATCCATCACTTGATGGATGAATGTGAATGGAGTGGGCACCCAACCGACCCTTACACGATGACCATTTCCTGATCTTTGAGCATCCCCAGTCTCTTCAGTCTGCTTGCAGCCCAGTATTGCCCACGAACTTCAGTACCCTACATAACTGGATCTGATGGTTGTCTCCGATTCTTCCACCCCCCGGTTTGCTAGTATTGCCCACGAACTTCAGTACCCTATATAACTGGATCTGATGGTTGTCTCCAATTCTTCCACCCCCCCCGGTTTGCCGATACTGCCAGCTCCCCAGAAGTGGAACACCAGGCTGGCTCCCTGCTGAAAGTAATGAACTTTCAGATGGGAGGGCTCCTTCGTGCGGCCTCTTCCACTTTGTCAGACTTAAAAATACGATCCTTCCGGTGGGAAGCTTTTAGAGGCTTGTAGTGGAAGGCTCCAAAAATGTAATTCCTTAATTTAAATACAACTACACTGAAGATTAGTTCTTTCATCTGGATCATTACTTCATAATAATAATAATGAATACATGACAAATTGTACAAACTTAGGTTTTTCTCAATATCCTGTTGACTCGGTGGAGTGTCGTCGGGCCTGTAAGTTGTGGTTTGTGGTGCACCATTCAAGAAGTGCACTGCCAACTTTCCAGTACTCTGTTCATAGCTTATACAATACAAAATGCTAATTACAAATCAGTTCACATCAATATGTAGATGTAAGTGCATACAGACGCTCATAAAAATCCTAAATGCTAATTACAAATCAGTTCACATCGATATGTAGATGTGAGTGCATACAGACGCTCATAAAAATCCAAATGGAAGATGAGTTCCGTTCTGTAATTTCAAAGTTACAAAATGGTTGTCTTGACTTTTAATGTGAAACATATGTAAATGTACCTATTTTAAGATTTTATTAAGTTGGTGTACATGCTATAAATGAGGCAAGTGGGAGAGGCAGAAATATTTTTTAAGGACGGGAAATACGAATTATGACGATTTTGCCCAAAATACATTGAAGCTGTGAACTGGAAGCAGTAATTTCTCCATGAAGCTATATCACTGTAAGGGTGATGAACCTGGGACTGGTGAAGATAGACTGATTGGTGAAAGTGGATAAAAGCCAATGACTTAAGACCATAACGAAGATATCTGATCTGATGTATAATGCGTTTTTCAAATATTTATTCTCTCTCACGTTTGTGGTAATTGAAATCAGACTATAATGTCGGTTTCTTAGTGGGGAGATGTCTTAGATTCAGAATCGCTTATTTGGGTGAATATGGTAATTCAGAGCTGAAAGGTTGATGATCCAGAATCTGATGTATTCGCAGCAGTTGTTATTATTTCATAATTACCCCATCGTACATATTATATCAATTTATATGAAAAGTAATATAATTTCTCATACATAATTTTTGAGATCAAATTTGTAACTACTGTTTTCTTATAACAAAGCATTCCAGTTATTCTGTAATATGATATTTGTTGCATTATCAATCAACACATCTAATTTCATCAGTTGACACTATTTTTTTTGGACATCCTTTGACATCAGTGTTTTGTGAAACTGTGCCACAGCTCACGAGGTTAGCTGCTGGCTTCTTATCACAAAGGCCTTGGTTCAAGCCCAAGGAAATTTGTGTGGGATATGTGATGAAAAAAATTGGCACTGGGGTTCCTTTCTTCACTCTGCCAGTGCCCCAAACTCATGATCACTGGAGGAACATTTGAGGCGGCAGCACCAAGCAACAGTTTGTTCTCTAAAGACTTCAGATACAATGCCATTGGAACTGGAGTTCTTGCTTTAAAGTTATAAGCTCAATTCTAGCACAAATGAGGTAAATCCCCCAAACTGTCACCTTAAAACATGTCTAAACTCCAGTTTGAAATTCTGGCGCCAGTATTTATCAAACTTCAGGTCACAGAAAAGTTTTGTTACTAAACTTTGGTCACATGTCCAGCAGTTAATAAATGCCAATCGACTGAGCGAAACCAGCATAGATCTGTAGTGTAGTAACCGCCAGGCAAAGCGTGAGTACGGCTCGGACTAGCAGTTCTATCCATGGACTGCTGATGGTGGCATGAACAAAAATCTCCATCAATAGAAACTTGTAAGAACAGAGGAGAAGCAGTACCGTAACGATGGGAAGTAATGAGCGACTGAGATCGTGGCGAGACCACAGCCATACAAGGGTTGCTGTGGTGACATGCTGCACCTAGAAGCAAAACATACCAGTAATAATAACCCTGTTCTGATGTCTGTAAAGTAAAATTGTTTTAAAATCAGAGCGAGTACAGGAACCACAATACTTTGGCATTGAAAGGGTTAACCTAGAATTCAGGCACCTGAGATTCTAACGTTCCTCTGAAATGCTGGTACAAGACTACACAGCATCAGAGTTAATTTTCGCTGCTGTGAGAACCTCGCAGCAAATGCAGACTTACCAGGCTGATGTTAGAATCAAAACTCTTTTGGATATACATCCAGTCAAATTCAACTCCTCGAGCACCAAACCACAGGAAAAGGAATCGAGACAGTAGTAAATCTGCTCCAGCCCAGCCCACCCCAGCTGTCAATACTTTAGCGTGACTTCTGCCAGGAATTCCCATCAAGACTAGATATAAGCCTCCAAGGTCAGCCAACTCAACAGTCGCCTTCAGGAATTCCTAAAACAGTCAAAAAGTATGTGTGACATACATAAAATATTTTAGGGCTCTAAAAATGAAAGTATTACACTTGATAAAAGTGACCAGAAGAAGTAGCTCCACGGAGCAGTGCCTTCTTGAGAAGCCGATAGTTACACAGCTGATCAAGAAATTCCCTGCCTTTTCTGGAACCTACACATTCATTAACCCATTACATTCTTCTAACAAGTTCAGCATGCAGACACCCACGTGGCCTTAAAGTCGTACGATGAACTCTGGTCACTGTGTAATCTCCATGTAGGTGCCTGTATGTTATTATCATTCAATAGATGGCTCCAAAAAAACATTGCTTAAAAATCTCCTGCTTCTATTGCTGACTCATGGACAGTGTGAAATCATATTATTACATGGAATGTTTTAGTAAGCAGTCAGCCATATTTCTGTGTAGATGGAGGGACATTTCAGGTGACTGGGTTACGGTGTTCACAACAGCCTTTGTCCTGAGCCGGCTGAACCAAATGCACGGTGTCACAGCTTTATATTAGCTTCCCTTTCAACCACAGATCTTCCAAGCCATAATTTTTCCTTTAGGTTTTCCAACTATAATAAGGAAACGTTTTCTCAGAGTTCTTGTTTGTATATCCTTGACTACAGTAAAATATAACCACAGAATGCCAACTGAGCAGACACTGCAGAAATCTTGCTGATAATTTTCTGCACGTGTCTGTGTGTTACAGGAACGACTTAAACAGATACCATGTTTCTCAATCATGGTAGGTAATGAAAATTTAAAAAATAAAAAAAAAAAACTTTTCCCACACTTTATGAATTCTAGTCCAGGCATTTAAACAGAATTTTCTGTGTTGTAAGTAGGTGGAATATTACAGATATCTTTCATTAGATGGATGATATTTAAAAAGTTTGAAGTTTCTTTTGATTAAACTCTGCTCCACTCCAATTAATAATTAATAGAAAATCGTATACTTTCATAATTATCAGGGAAGGATGAGATTATGGCAGATGCAAATGCAATAATTTCTGTATCTTAAAACACAAAAATTCTGCTATACCAAAAGAATGAGGAAACATGCCAGAAAAGAAGTATTGTGGGCATGGACAAGAAAGAGCAGAAAAAAAACAAAATACATGTCCAGCGCCTTGTTTCCAAACATCTTTCACTTCAAGACCAATAACAGGACAAGAACTGAAGTGTGTAGAAAGTGTAAATAGCCATAAAGGTGCTTATAAACATCACCAAAGGAGGTTTACAGAATGAGAATATCAGTAAATTTCAAATGTGATACAGAAATCAGAGGTAATTCCAAATGATAATATGTAAGAACATGAACTAAAGCATATTTTTTGGTGAAATATGGGTTTTTGTGTAAACGTTTTCTTAGAGCTTTTAGTCTGATAAATTCAGAAAGGGAGTTAAATAAAATGCAGTCCATTCTTGCTCAAAGCACCTGAAGTCACCCACCTGGCATAAGTTAAATTAAAGCTGTCTCCCTGCTTAAGGGGTTAATTTATAATCTGCAACAAAATTAAGTTTTACTTACAGTTAATCATCTATAGCAGAATATGTGTCTGGGAAGAGCTAGTGTAAGTCACATAGGCTTCACTCAGTTGTAATCTTTCCCTTGTTTACTTCATTTTCTAAAGGGGAACATTAATTTATTCGTCGATTATGCTGCTAGGTACTTTTTACAGTCAGGGCCATTAGCAATATAAAAGTAATTTCGTTCCTTTTACATCATACCCCAACAAAATCCATGCCTCCCTGTCCGCCACCATCATTTGCAGGGAAGAAAGTTGCAAGTACCAGCATTTTACACAGCTGTGTGAAGACGTAAATTCCACCGGCTTGGATACATTTCCAAAAGGCCCCATATTCTGACCTAAAAATTAAAAGCAAGGTTATGGTCATGTGCACATCATCACAGTAATTTCAGTATGGAACTGCGAGTCATATTAGTTCTTCACAGTACTTACAAACCAGAATATTTATATGTCAGATAAAATGGTACATAAACTAACGCGACACAGTTTCCAAAATGGTATAATGTCATTGGTATTGTATGGAATGGTATAATGTTTATAAATTAACTTAATTTACTCCGTAATGTATACTGAGGTTATCTCGAATCCGGTGGTTAGATTTTTCGAGAAGTTGTTTTCGATTCTCGATGTCACCCCATGGATTCGTAGTTCAAACAATTTCTCGCTAGATGTCGGGGGACCCATAATTCAGGTTGCCGTCCTGAACATGCCGACAGTACTTGCTTTACGTGAAACTCAACACCTGGCCCCTTATTTATCGTACGTACAAAACACAAAAATCGATAATCATTTTTAGATTTAAACTCTACTTATTTGTACCTGTTTCTGATTTATGCTGCATTTTCCTATTGTAACATATATTTCTCCCGTCATCGCGAAGTTAGATCAGAACTAAACCTATGTACATTCCGGAAACATTACAAATTACTGGAAACCATTTCACAAGGAGGCCTATAACCCTACATACGTAGTCTACTACTTTGTTATAAAAACAAAGTCGATTCTCTAAATTCGGAAGAACTTCCTCTGGACGACACGCAGACGTAGGCATTGTACGTCAGATTATGACCTCGAGCGTATCACGAATGTTTAATGCAAGTGATTATAACGTATACCGAAATTAAAACTTTTATTAGAATGTTGCACGCTAATGATCTGATTTGTAGACTTGCGTATTTGTAGTAATGTGAGACACGTCATAGGGTCGCCGGTTCTTGAATCAGGAAACTGCTAGTGGTTTATCTAATACTCCAGTCGTTCCGGTACCAATAATGCGATTGTTGGAGTCCTGACGACGTGGAATTACAATGGAAATATGAGAGAACCATATTTGACAAGTTCAGTGCTGCCTCCATCTTCAGAGCAGACTAAACCTTTTCGTCTGAAATTCTAACGGATTAGCATCAATGCTGAACGTGGATTCCCATTTGGGGACCTTAAGGGGGCGGACGAAGGAACATCGCGTACAGTCTGGCAGAATAAAAATTACGTGATCATCACCTGACGTGTAGATGGAGCAAGGCACAGCCTCCTTGCTCGAGAAACTAGTGGCATTAGCGCACTCTACGTCGGCATGCAAAATATTTGGCTGCGCGCGCAGGCTAAGGACCTGCGCGCGCAGGCTATGGCTCGCCACAGGCGTTCTTCGAGCGAAATGCATATAATAAAATTATTACATGGACATCGTGTCTGTCTGCCTGTCCGTAAGTTTTATATCCGAAATTATTCAACAGGTTTCTTTTAAATTTGGTGTTGAGGGGGGGCGGACAACAATAAAATCTGTCGATCTGACTGTATGACTCTCACCGGCTGAATCTGTCGTCTGCTTATTACAAATTGAGAACGTTTGGGGTCGGAAGTCTGAAGCAAATATTTTGTCCTGAAACAGAAGACGCACGCAAGAGGAGAGTGCAGACATTTGCGGAAAGACTCACTCACTATCTGCAATCTTCACTAGACGGTGCTAAAGTCAAGGAAGAGGAGATGGGAACTTGAAACTCGGTGGTGACGTGGTCCAGTGGCGGACACTTGTCAACACCGCAGAGAGTCTTCTGGTGCCGAAAATGGCGGGGAATTTCTTGATCGGCTGACGTCAAGAAAGACGCAGCTCGGACGCTTTGGTTGCGAAGTTGCAAGCGCGTCATCTGCCTTGCTGCAGTGCTCATCATTGCATTTCCGGCCCCTTGTTGATCGTCGTCTGCGACCCTGAGTTGCCTCTGGTCAGCATCCCCCATTGCGATGACGGGAGAGATGATTGTGAGGACCAGCTAATCTGTGGGGACGA